CTTCTCCAGCTCCCTCCTTTTTCTCCTTCTCCAACTCCCTCAACTCCTGCTCTTTTCCTTCTCCGGCTTCTCTAATTCCTTCTCTTCCTCTTCCTTCCACTTTTCTTCCTCTAACTCCTTCTCCTCCTCTTTCAATTCTTCCAAATCTTCTTCTTCCTCCTCCAGTAACTCTTCCTTCTCCTCTAGTTCCACTTTCTCCTGTAACTCCTCCTCCTCTTCCAGTTTCATTTCCTCCTGTAACTCCTCTAACTCCTCTTCCGGTTCCTTTTCCTCCTCGTCCAGTTCCTCTTCTTCCTCTTCCTCTAGTTCCTCTTCTTCTTGTAACTCCTTCTCCTCCTCCAGTTCCTCTTCCTCTGGTAACTCCCCCTCCTCCTCCAGTAACACTTCCTCTTCCTCCTGTAACTCTTCCTCCTCTTCCTCCAGTTCCTCTTCCTCCTGTAACTCTTCCTCCTCTTTCTCCAGTTCTTCTTCCTCTGATAACTCCTCCTCCTGTTCCTCTTCCTCCTATAGCTCTTCCTCCTATTCCCCTAGTTCCTCTTCCTCTTCTTCCTCCAGTTCCTCTTCCTCCTGTAACTCCTTCTACTCCAGTTCTTCTTCCTCCTGCAACTCTTCCTCCTCCTCTTCCAGTTTCTCTTCTTCATGTAACTCCTTTTCCTCGTCCTCCAGTTCCTCTTCCTCATGTAACTCCTCCTCCTCCTCCTCTAGTTCCTCTTCCTCATGTAACTCCTGCAACTCCTACTCCAGTTCTTCTTCCTCCTGTAATTCTTCCTCCTCCTCCTCCTCCAGTTCCTCTTCCTCATGTAACTCCTCCTCCTCCAGCTCCTCTTCCTCATGTAACTCCTTCTCTTCCTCCAGCTTCTGTTCCTTATGTAACTACTCCTCCACCAGTTCTTCTCCCTACTGTAACTCCTCCTCCTCCTCCTCCTCCAGTTCCTCTTCCTCTTGTAACTGCTCCAACTCCTCCCCCAGTTCTTCTTCCTCCTGTAACTTCTCCTCCTTCTCCTCCTGTTTCTCTTCCTCCTGTAACTCCTCCAACTCCTCCTCCTCCAGTTTCTCTTCCCCTTGTAACTCCTCCTCTTCTAGTTCCTCTTCCTCCTATAACTCCCTCCTCCTCCTTCAGTTCCTCTTCCTCCTGTAACTCCCCCAACTCCTCTTCCTGCTCTAACTTCTCCAACTCCTCCTCCTCCAGTTCCTCTTCCTCCTGTAATTCCTCCTCCTCCTCCAGTTTCTTTTCCTTTTCCTTCAACTCTTCCTCCTTCTCTAACTCCTCCAAGTCATCCTTTTTTTCGTCTTATTTTCTAAGTTTTTTGCATAATTATTTTTTGATTTTTCTTTTTTATGATTTAGTGTAAATGTTTAGAAAACTCATTCTGGAGGATACAGGGAGGAGAACACATATATTTATTTGTTTGGATAGCTAAAAATATTTCCGAAAGGATACATAGGAAACTGGTGACATTACTTGCTTTTGAGGAGAATAATGGGTGGCTGGGATGGTCGGGGTGGAAGGTAGGTTTTGCACTTCTGTACCTTGTGAATTTGGAACTGTGATTAATAGTCCTTGAAAGTAAAGATATCGAAAACACATAAAAGCATGAAAAAATATACAAAAACATAAGTTTGGTAAGAGTAAGAGTAAAAGAGAAAGTTACCTTTTTTTTTTAATTAAGAAAAAGAAAAGAGAATTCAATCTGCTTAAATCCTAGGGGCTTCCGGTCTCTTTCTTTCTTTGCATTTTGTTCATAGGAATTTGTTACCTATTTTTGAATGTACCAAGCCTTTGTTGCATAATTACGTTCAAGAAGCATATGCTTATTAATTAGAAATCTTATGCAATTCTAGTTGAAGGGGAGGTTTTCTTATATGTATTTTAAAAATCACGGTAGGGAGACTTGAACAAATTGGATCTTAGTGTTTACTTAAGGAATGGAGACCTTGCTGTCTTTCCTGTTGCTTCCTAGCTAAGCAGGAAGTCTGACTTCTTGAGCTAAAACAGAATTAATCTAAGACTTCTAATAATAAGATTTTCAAGGTGGGGAAAGGAAACTCATTGTCCATGTAACCTTGGAAAATTACTTACCTTTACTTCAATTTCATCTAAAAGTAAGGATGTTAACACCTACTTATAGAGCTAAAGAATTAGAGATAGTATTATATAAATCAATATTATATAAGCACAGAACCTGGCACCTCATGTAGATCCTTAAAATTGTATTATTATTATTATTGTTAGTTTTGGTTAGTATCAGTTCACTTTAGACCCCTTGAAGGAGTAAACACTATGAAATTTTTTTTAATTGAGGATGAATGAAAATGAATGATAGTTGTTTAGGAGAAGAAGGAATATATCAGTTATTTATTGCTGTGTAACCATCTGCTGTGAATTTAGTGGCTTAAATAAACAACAATGAAATATTATTTCTTGGCTGGGTACGGTGGCTCATGCCTATAATCCTAACATTTTGGGAGTCCGAGGCAGGTGGATCACTAGGTCAGGAGTTCAAGATCAGCCTGGCCAATATGGTGAAATCTCGTCTCTACTAAAAATACAAAAAATTCGCTGGGCATGGTGGCACGCGCCTGTAGTCCCAGCTGCTCAAGAGGCTTAAGCAGGATAACTGCTTGAACCCGAGAGGTGGAGGTTGCAGTGAGCCAAGATTTCACCACTGCACTCCAGCCTGGGTGATAGAGCAAGACTCTGTCTCAAAATAAAGAAACATTATTTCTCATAATTCTGTGGTTTGGCTTGGTGGCTTTTCTGCTTGTTTCCTTACACTTACTGGCATAGATGCAATCAGATGACAACTGGAATGGTTAGATGGTCCCAGATGGCCTCACTCACATGTCTGGCAGTTGCTGTTGGCTGTTAGTCAGAGCATGTTGGTTCCCCACGTGGCCTCTCGTGTCCAATAGGCTAGACCAACTTCCTTACAGCATGGCCATCCCAGGGCAGCATTTTAAGAGGGCAAGTTCCACTGCTTGAATAGCAAGTCTCTGCTTGCTTTTGTAGTTGCTGATTTCACAGGGTCAAGCCCAGAGTCACTGCAAGAGGGGACTTAGACTCCACCTTGGTAAGGAAGGAATAGCAAATAATTTGTGGCCATTTTTAATATACCACCAGCCTGGTGGTTATTTGATCTGCATCTTGGACTAATATTAGTCCCAGAAAGAGATTCTTTTGGTTTCTTACATTTTCTGTATCATTGATTCCTTCTTTAGTCCAATATAAGAGATGATAAAAGAACTGGAAGTTTCAGGGGTGGGCGGAAAAAGAAAAAAAAATAGAAAGAACTGGAAGTATCATATTTGTAGTAAAAATTGGAATGAAGGATAGTAGCTGCTTTTATGCATTTGAAGATCTTTCCTGTGAAGGAAGGACTAGCTCCAACATTTGGAAATGACTAGAAAGCAGATTTCTCCTCAATATTAGGAAGGATTTCTCTGTGAGATACTGAGCCTTGTTGAATGCCATCCCTCCCTCACCCTTCTGTGTCGTGGGAAGCGGTAAAGTAGAAGACGGATAATTATGTGCTGGGGCTTTGAAAGGAGGGTTTTCTTCACTAAATGACCTGATGTATGTGATTCCATACCTTAGAAAGAATCTTATTGCTTTTCTGTTGAGATTAGGGGTGAGGATGGGGTGGTATTAGAAAGGGAGAGAATTGCTATGTTTAGACTGTGAGTTACTCTACTGAGAATTTTAATTTTACTTTATTTATAAAAGAAAGATTTATTTTCTGGAAACTTTGAAAGTTGGAATTTACTATTGGCGTGAAAAAAACTTCAATTTGGTACAGTGTCAGGGGGGTACTGAATCTTGAAGATAGGTTTCCTATGGATCTTCTTGGTTTAAAATGAAAGGAATTAAGTAATAGTTTTAGGATAAGTAAGAAATAAATGTGTACAATGCTCCAGGAGCTATAGGTTAATTAGACAGATTATGCAGTTTGTATAGTTAAAACAGTTTTGGTACTTTGCCCATATCATGTATTTTTGGCCTTCTCAAACATGATTTTGAGATCTAATTTTATAACAAAACCCTAGGCCCAAATGGTGCTATTGTCAGCCGAGAATACTGTGTCAATATCTGATCAGAATGTAAGCCTGTTTCCTTTCTCTTTTTTTTGAGATGAAGTTTCGCTCTGTTGCCCAGGCTGGAGTGCAGTGGTGTGATCTTGGCTCACTGCAACCTCTGCCTCCTGGGTTCAAGTGATTCTCCTGCCTCAGCCTCCCTAGTGGCTGGTATTATAGACGCTCGTCACCATGTCCAGCTAATTTTTGTATTTTTAGTAGAGAAGGGGTTTCACCTTGTTGGCCAGGCTGGTTTCAAACTCCTGACCTCAAATGATCTGCCTGCCTTGGCCTCCCAAAGTGTTGGGATTACAGGTGTGAGCCACTGTGCCCAGCTCCTTTTTCTTTTTTGTGTCTTTCTTTTCTTTGTTGCAGGGAGGAGGAGGTGGAGGCTACCATTTACTCCACTGTAAAGTAGTGTGATGTAGGTGCTGCCCCTGACTTTGTTTAATGTCACCAAGCCAGCCACTTTGGTCAACAGTGTTTTCTATGGAACCTCCCTGATTTCCCATACTTGGTTTTTTAGAAGACCGAGAGTAAGGCGATAAGCTGCAGTACCTACAGTGATTCAGACACAGAGTGGTGTTAGGTTTCTGGTGGGAAACAGAATTGAAGTTACAAATAAATATACTAGCTAAAGCAGAGATTGCTTTCCCGAATGGTGCGTTTATAAGCTGGGAAATTGTGAAAAATATCAACCCGCCAACTGTGTGGCTCATTGGCTCTTCTTTGGGCTTCGATGTTCTTCCTGATAAAAATAATAATTATGTTATTCTGATATGGTTGCCAAGCCGTTCATGCTTCTCACTCTGCTTGTGATTGTAAATGATTCTGCAGCATGAGTTGCTTTGTCTTTGATTTAATGTTTCATAACATTTGAGTGTTATGTTATCTGTGCTAATTTGTTGTTCTCTTCTCTTACTTTTCAGAATGGACTGCTGAATTATGAAGTATTTCAGACCCAATAGTAGAACATCACTTGCCACTCACTCCTTTATCTCCTACTAGTTATTTAAATTGGACTTTTAATATCCTACCAGCTGCTCTTCAGACACACATGGTGCATTGTTGCCATTCCCCAGATTGCATCTTTGAAACACAGGCTCTTGGTAACCTTCAGCGAACAAAGAGGCAACCTCCCAGATACGTCTGCTGGGAGGGAGTCATCCTGACTGCCCTCTAGCTTTTGCTGGATCTGGATTTGAATTCCATCATGGAGCCTCGCATGGAGTCCTGCCTGGTGCAGGTGTTGCAGAAGGATGTTGGGAAACGATTGCAGGTTGGCCAAGAACTGATAGACTATTTCTCAGATAAACAGAAGTCTGCTGACCTTGAGCATGACCAGACCATGTTAGATAAACTTGTGGATGGACTTGCTACCTCTTGGGTGAACTCTAGCAATTACAAGGTAAGCTGTGCTTTAGAAGGCACTTTTGTAGGTGGCTGGGCTGCATTGGTAGATCAAAATTGGCCGTTATAAAAATCCCTCGTGAGCAGTCAGCATGCTTTCTTGACTTCCAGTCACTCAGTCAGGCTGTGGCTTTGGGTTATTTCATTCTGGAGAAAGTAGAGTTTTCTTTGATACTTATTGAAGATCAAATATTCTTACCCTTTAGCACTTTCAGAGAAGGTCAAGTGAACAGATAAGGGGAGGCTTTTTTGTTGGAAAATTTACGAGCATTTGTAGCCTTGAAGTTAATGTGTATATTGTGTCTTGCAGCAAATAGGTCCTGAGACCTTGGTGAGTTGCCCTTTATGAATAACAAATGTCTTCACTGATTTTTTCTGGGGTGTAGAATTGGTATTAGGGTGTGGAACATTTTACTTTCAGGTCACTGTTGTGAAGCTGGCCCATGTACCTGGACAGAAATAGTATAGGTTGTCAAGGACTTTTCTGTGACCTGTGCATAATGGCCTGGCGGATATCCTTCAGGATCTAAAGGTCAAGGCTGTTCATGTGACCGTGGCAGGGGGTGGGGGTGGGGGTGGGGCTAGGTCCCATGGGTCAGATGAGTTGTGAAGGTTGACCATTTTACCTTTCAAAGACAGTTTTCATGAATAAAAACTAGATTGGACTTAAAGTGCTGAAGAGGTGGTGTACCTCTCTCTGCTCCTTCCCTATCCCCATCCCTTGTTCTCTCTTTTCATTTTCCTGGAGGGTGGCCACTTTGGGTCAAGGTTGAGATGGAAGGAAGAGTGGAAAGTTTGCATGACTGCTGATAGGTGCTATAGACATTGTAAAAGGGGCCTACAGAAATAGAATCTTCTGTGTTTTTTTTATTGCCTCAATCTTTTGAGATTGGTTTGGACATAAAAAGCCACAGAACTCCTTTGCTCTAGTATGTACTCTATTTTCTAAATATGTTAACTGTGCCCCTAGTATTTTACTTACCACTGGATATAAAATTGATCTGTCCTGTCTTTATTTATTTACTTATTTTATTTTTATGTATTTTTTGTTTTGAGACAGAGTCCTACTCTGTCACCCAGGCTGGAGTACGATGGCTTGATCTCAGCTTACTGCAACCTCTGCCTCCTGGGTTCAAGTGATTCTCAAGCCTCAGCCTCCTAAGTACCTGGGAATACAGGTGCTTGCTACCATACCCAGCTAATTTTCGTATTTTTAGTAGAGATAAGGTTTCACCATGTTGATCAGGCTGCTCTTGAACGCCTGACCTGAGATGATCCACCCGCCTTGACCTCCCAAAGTGCTGGGATTATAGGCGTGAACCACCGTACCTGGCCCATTTATTTATTTTTGAGACCAAGTGTTGCTCTGTTGCCCAGGCTGGAGTGCAGTAGCACTATCTCGGCTCACTGCAACCTCCACCTCCTGGGCTCAAGCAGTCCTCCCACCTCAGCCTCCCAAGTAGCTGGAAATACAGATGTGTACCACCATGCTCCACTAATTTTTGTGTGTTCGTTTTGCCACGTTGCCCAGGGTGGTCTTGAACTCCTGGGCTCAAGCAGTCCACCCACCCCAGCCTCCCAAAGTGCCAGGATTACAGGCATGTGCCACCACATGCAGCCTATCTTAACCTGTCTTTAAACTCTGAGCTAAAATTCTATTTCATTCATCTGTTTATTCACTTAGCTGAAGTTATCAATTGCTTCTTATGTGTCTGGCATTGGTACTGGATGGTGGGAGTGTTAAAAGATGAGAGGTGATAGAGTCTGGTCATTACAATTTTGTTCTTTTTTAAAAGTAACTTTAAAAAATTGACAAATAATTTTACATGCTTGGGGTACCTAATGATGTTTTGATGAATATAATTTGTAGTGATCAGGTTAAGGTAATTAGCATATCCGTCATCTCAAATGTTTATCATTTCTTTGTGTTGGGAATGTTTAATATCCTCCTTCTAGCTATTTGGAACTATATTACTGTTAACTCTAGTCATCCTACAGTGGTATAGAACACCAGAGCTTATTCCTCCTATCTAGTTATAATTTTGTATTCTTTAACAACTCTCTTCCTATACACCTCTTTCCTCCTATCCTTCCCAGCTTCTGCTATTCTCTCTTCTACTTTTTGCTTACAAGATCAGCTTTTTTTATGCTTCACATATGAGTGAGAACATGCAGTGTTTAACTTTCTGTTCCTGGCCTATTTCACTTAACATAATGCCATCTAGTTCCATCCATGTTGCTGTGAAGGACAGGATTTTATTCTTTTTCATGGCTGAATAATATTCCATTGAATATACATACCACATTTGCTTTATCCATTTTTTGTTGTTGGATATGTAGGTTGATTCTTTGCTGTTGTGACTAGTGCTGCAATAAGATGGGGGTGCAGATATCTCTTCCACATTCTGATTTTCTTTCATTTGGATAAATTCCCACTAGTAGGATTGCTGAATCATATTGTAGTTCTAAGTACAGTTTTTTGAGGAACCTCCATGCTGTTTTCCATAGTTGCTGTACTAGTACTTGTATAAGAGTTCCCTTTTCTCTGCTGCATTCTCATCAGATTTATTATTTTTTTGTCTTTTTGATAATAGACATCCTAACAGGGGTGAGATGATACCTCATTGTGGTTTTGATTTGTATTTCCCTCATGATTAGTGATGTTGAACATTTTTTCATATATATATATATATATATATATATATATATATTTTTTTTTTTTTTTTGAGACGGAGTTTCACTCATGTTACCCAGGCTGGAGTGCAATGGCACGATCTCGGCTCACCGCAACCTCCGCCTCCTGGGTTCAGGCAATTCTCCTGCCTCAGCCTCCTGAGTAGCTGGGATTACAGGCACGCACCACCATGCCCAGCTAATGTTTTGTATTTTTAGTAGAGATGGGGTTTCACCATGTTGACCAGGATGGTCTCAATCTCTTGACCTCGTGATTCACCCGCCTCGGCCTCCCAAAGTGCTGGGATTATAGGCGTGAGCCACCGCGCCTGGCCATTTTTTCATATATTTATTGGTCATTGGTATGTGTTTGAGAAATGTCTGTTTAGATTATTTTTTCATTTTTAAAATTGGAATTTTTTTTTTTTTTTTTAGATATTTGAGTTCCTTGTTTATTCTGGATATTAATCCCCTGTCTGGCAGGTCCAATGGTAATGGGTTCTCAGAATTTAACATTAGTGTCACTAAAGTTGATATACGACTCCCCACTGTTAAATTTGACTGGCTCAAACAGAAAAATACCCTGCTGGTGGAATAATTTACTATTCTGTATAATAATTGTCCTATTCTGTAGTTTGTCTTTTTACTCTGTTGTTTCTTTGTTGCACTGAAGCTTTTTAGTTTAACATAATCCCACTTGTTCATTTTTGCTTTTGTTTTTTGTGCTTTTGAGATCTATCTTTTCCCAGACTAAATAATGTCCTGAAAAATTTCTTAAATGTTTTCATCTAGTCATTTTATTGTTTGGGTCTTACATTTAGGTCCCCATCCACTTACAGTTGATTTTTATACAGAGTGAGAGATGGGGATCCAGTTTCATTCTTTTGTATATGTATATCCAGTTTTCCCACTATCATTTATTGAAGAGACTGGCCTTTCCCCAGTGAGTGTTCTTGGCACGTTTGTCAAAAGTCAGTTGGCCATAGATAAGTGGATTAATTTCTGTGTTCCTATTTTGTTCCATTGGCCTATTTTTATGCCAGTACCAGGCTGTTTTGGTTACTACAGCTTTGTAGTTTACTTTGAGGTCTGTTAGTGTGATTCCTCTAGCTTTTTTCTTTTTGCTCAGGGTTGCTTTGGCTATTCAGGGTCTTTTGTGGCTCCCTACAAATTTTAGGAATTTTTTTTTTCTGTTTCTGTGAAGAATGTCATTGGTGTTTTGATAGAGATGGCATTCAGTCTGTAGATTGCTTGTCATTTTAACTATATTAATTCCTCCAATCCATGAGCATGTGATGTCTTTCTATGTGTTTGTATCCTCTTCAGTTTCTTTCATGAGTGTTTTGTAGTTTTCCTTGTAGTACCTTTCACCTCCTTGGTTAAATTTATTCCTAGTATTTTATTTTATTTTTGGTAGCTGTCATAAATGGAATTGGACCCCCCCCCCCCCCGTTTTTTGTTTTTTTTTTTTTTGAGATGGAGTCTTACTCTGTCACCCAGGCTGGAGTGCAGTGGTAAGATCTCAGCTCACTGCAACCTCTGCCACCTAGTTTCAAGTGATTCTCCTGCCTCAGCCTCCTGAGTAGCTGGGACTGCAGGTGCGCGCCACCACACCTGGCTAATTTTTGTATTTTTATTAGAGACCGGGTTTCACCATGTTGGCCAGAATGGTTTTGAACTCCTGACCTCAGGTGATCTACCTGCCTCGGCCTCCCAGTGTGCTGGGATTACAGATGTGAGCCACTGTGCCCGGCCAGAATTATCTTCTTGATTTCTTTTTTAGCTAGTTTGTTGTTGGTGTATAGCAATGCTACTGATTTTTGCATATTTTGTGTCCTGTAACCTTACTCAATTCAGTCATCAGTGGTAAGAGTTTTGGGTAGAATCTTTAGGTTTTTCTGTATATAAGATTATGTCATCTGCAAACAGGGACAGTTTTACCTCCTCTTTCCAATTTGGATGTCTTTTATTTCTTTCTCTTGCCTCATTGCTCTGGGAAGGACTTCCAGTACTGTGTTGAATAGAGGGTTAGAGTAGGCATACTTCTTGTGTTTTAGTTCTTAAAAGCTGAAAGCTGTTGGGGCGTGGTGGCCCACGCCTATAATCCCAGCACTTTGGGAGGCCAAAGCGGGTAGATCACGAGGTCAGGAGTTCAAGATCAGCCTGACCAACGTGGTGAAACCCCATCTCTACTAAATATATAAAAATTAATTGGGTGTGGTGGTGGGTGCCTGTAATCCCAGCTACGTGGGAGGCTAAGTCAGGAGAATTGCTTAAACCTGGGAAGTAGAGGTTGCAGTGAACTGAGGTCGCTCTACTGCACTC